TTAAAATATCTGCAAATTATTAGCAAGTTGTAAGTCTTAGATTGAAATGATTTGTTTTCAAGAAAATACCGTTCACCAATTTTCGATCCTGTTCTACAATTGGCCATTTCTCGTTCTTTTTCGGCAACCGGCATTTTCTTAATTTTCCTCAGTTTAATTACAACGAAGACGATTCAAAGCAAATACTTTAACCGTGTACACTACGGATGTCCAGTTCTTGATGGACTTTCAGTTATTGGGATTATCTTTAAATCTAGGGAACTTTTAGGAAGACAGAGAAATAATTCCCTTCAGGAGGGTATTCCCCAACAAACATTTATCACCGTTTTGTAGTTTGCTAGTGATTCAATAATCACTCAAAGGAAAGTCTGCGTTGTAATACTTTACAAATACTGCCCGATCATTATAATCGCGTCACAAAATATGTGAATCAAGAATATAAAGTCATTTTTCATATTATGACTAAACTTGAAAATAGAAGGCATACTTGTTCTTTTTATACACACGTTTAAATATATTCTGGTTTGGAATGGCATGTGACCATGCAAAATCATCTATAATATATCAAATCAATAAATAGGCAATAAATCATGATATCTGGACGGTTCCTTTGAAGTGCCAGTTGGATGTATTCTTCAAAAATTGTATGGGGAACAAATCTCTATACCCACTATCGGGTATTGAAATTACGCGCTGTATTATCAGTATGTCTAGTTGACCTTAATTAGTATACACATCAATAGCTTATACATTTGCGTACACGTTTTGCATACGAAACGAGACATAACGAAAATTCGAACTTTAAGAAAAAAATATACGCTGCATGTCTAAGAGAAGGAGATCCGGTATGGGAATATAAGAAATCGAAATTTGCTTAAATGAACAGTATGGTGGTCCTCAACTAATGTGACAACATTTACAGCTTTTAAGCCCAATTTGTTTTATAGGAAAGTTAATACATTCCCAGGTACAGAGTGTCAAAGTGTAAAACTGCGTCTGTTTGCAATATAATTTTAACTAGATTAATGTTACCGAAAACAATGTGTTTGCGTCGCTTTTTAAGTCGCCAACTTCAAATTCCCTATTACCTAGTTTGTAGTTCCTAGAGTGCGCTAGATGTAATAGTTAGAATCGATTTTTTGGGTTCGAAAATATTATTTTTTTTTGTTGGCAATATCTCGTTCTTCGATATCTCCTGATCAAGAAATCTGTACTCGGTGGAAGTTCGCATTTATCACCGTTTTCGAGATATTTCACATTGAAACGTCCAGTATTTTTTGAACTACTTAATTGAAATTGGATCTTTAAATAATCGAAATATTCTGCTCAAGCTTTCAATCAAACTATTTTTCACTACTTTTTTACATTCAGCAAAGTCTTGTTGATAATTAAAAATTATTGGTTAATAATAATTGTTTAACAAAAAGTACGCTGATTTCAATACATTTATTAACGTTTTTAATAAATAATTATAGTATTAAAAAGATAAATTATTGTTTCAGAAGTATTCTGCAGCATTTTATTGCGCATAAGCAGAATCCATATCGCCCATTTCTTCCTTCGAAAATAACTTATGTCGGGTTATTTTCAATAAATTGAAAGTGACAATAAATCAAATTTTGCCCAAGGCCCAATTTAAAAATGTCAATTTACCATAATATTAGGGATCCAAATCAAGTTAGTTCGAAAAATCGCTAGAGGTTTCAATGTGAAATAGGTATGTAGTTTGTTCAAGAAATATATCGGCGGAGAACGAAATGTTGCGAACCAAATAGCGATATTTCGAAACGCAAAAAATCTATTCTCTAGGAACTACAAGCTGAATAATAGGAAATTTTCATTCCTCGATTTAAAAAAAACTCCAAACGCCACTTTTTTTTATAGTAGTATAACTGGATTGAAAAAAACCAAAAACTGTATATGCAGTTTGACACCCCGTGCCTTAGAGGACCATCCTGGTTACGTTTTTAACTTTAAAGTTTCGTTTTTCAAAACCCGAGAGAATTCTAAAATTTCTTATTATTCTGGACTCGACGATTTAGTTTTTGTTATCACTAGATTCTGAAAATAGGAAATTACAAAAGATGAATTATTTAGGAAATATCTGAGCTGTTCAACGTTAGTTTAAATATGAAATAATGACATGCTAGATCTTAACTTTTAGGACACCATAAATAATATTAGCAACAAACTTTAACAAAGCAAAATAAGTGCAGAAAATAGTTTATCATATGTTTTATAAACAATTCAGCCAGCGGGATAAGCACAGATACCCGCCGACAAATTTCTGGTTATTAATTGAAGGAATTGTCCAAAACACAATTTAATCTTAATACGTTTAAATCATTCCGAGTTTGTTAGTCAACAAACAGAACCGTATTGAATAAACATTTGTTGATCAGAAACTAATCAACTTGCCTTCAGGCAGTTTAGTCGATTTAGATACAGCTCTGATTTTACAAAAATAAAACATTAAAATTGTTCCTTTTTATCAAATAAGTCAGAAACAAAAAATTGTATTAAGTTTTGTAAATCGCAGTTCTATTAGATTCTTAATAGTGACAATTTTTGCCCATTACTTAGCACCGATTTCGGTTCACGGAAAATGAACTTTTTTCGTCAATTTGTCGAATTATGAACTTCTTGGAATCCACCGAAAAATAAGTGGAGCACATGTAGATAACTGATAAATGTTTTCAATCGAAAAAATAATGACATCGGCAACCCGAAAATTACAAAGTGCTACCCAAAAATAGAAAAACTTAAATACTGAATATGTATTATTTAATTTCAAATTTTAATATTTCAGATTAAGGGTTATTGAAGCTATACAATAGAGAAGATTGATACCAAACTCATCAATCTCTTTTCTTAATTGTTGCTCGAATCTACAAGGCCGATGGAGGTGTAGTTCCAAAATATATACACAGAGAATTGCAAATTAAATTCATATTGTTATGCTATATATTTTTTCTATCGGTACAAATGTGAGCTTCTACATGAGTTCCCCAACATCAAGTTTAAGGTTTTTGAAAGACTAAGATCAAAGAACGATTTTCATTTCTTTTTTTACAAACTTCTTTTTGGGTATTTCGCATCAAAAATTTTTGTCTTTAAAAAAGACAGAATTTCCTCACGTCTTTTATTACAGATTGATAAA